GGCCAGTCGCCGTTATTATTTTTTTTCTCTGATCCCTCAAGTACCAAACAACGGCTTAAACAAATCTATTGTTCGTTCATTGGGTTTTTGTGTGAGTGTTAAACATTAGCTGGTCTGTGACGTTGGAGAGGTGTGTTTCATTTAACGGACTATCGGGTAGGCAGACTTCCACCTCGGCCACAGAGAGCAGCAAAACAGAACTATGATCATTGTATATTTATTAGACTACGAATACCTTGGCAATCACAAATTCGAGGTTCAAACCTATTTGCATCGCGAGTTTTTTTTTATTAGCGACCGTTTAATGGCTGCAAACACAATAAGACATTCAAACAAAGAGATGCTATTGTGTTTGCTGTCGAGATGACAATAGGAGTGTCCTTCAGGTGTCGTTCAGCACCAGTGAATATCATCGAGCGAACAGCTAAACTTATACGGACTCATACCGCTGTTTTGCCGGATGTATTCTGTGGCTGGGAATTTTAACACATGAGCTCGCTAACTTCGCAAAATTAAGGTAACGCAATTTGTTAGTTCGTAATACGTGTTAGTTATCAGTACTCCCACTTCCGCCTCAAATACGGCACGTTTCTCACGTGAGGTACACACACACGGTATACTGAGAATACCTACTAGACCGGAGAACTTCAAGTGGACATTTCTGTCCTAGTATTGTTGTACTAGCTATATATCGACAATCACATTGAGTAGCCGCATGTCATTTTTTGAAGGCAGTTTTCACGGGATAACTTTTCATATTATTATGTACATATCCATACTAATAATAAATTGTATGTAGTAATTCATACGTAGTAAAATGACCACACTGAGTAGCTCTCACGTTTGGGGTAAAGACAACAAACACTCACATTTTCATTTGAGGTCAACAACGACTAATCATGGTTAACGAATGGTCATAATAACGAGTTTGAATATATTGATTATCTTGTCTCCTCTTTTCCAATTTCTCAACAATATTAAACACAAGTAGCAATAACTTTTTAAGCACATGTATGTTACACGCTTACTCATGAATGAAAATATCCTGAAATTATCCACACTAATTTTTAAAAACGTTATCGGCCTATTATTGAAGAAACTGTTGGCTATGTTGTCAATGCTAGAACGCTTTTGAAACTAGACTCTACTATGACGGTGATATTATGTCATATCTCACGTTGTATGTTGAAGACACGGGGTGACATAATTATATAATGTGACAGGTCGACTAATTATTTTTATACTGAATTATCCCAAAAATCCGCTTTTTAAAACAACAAATGATATTCTGCTTTAACATTGTGTTGCAAGGAATTCTAAAAATAACATTCGTTGAATAATATTTAGCCAATTTTTGCGAATACACAAGGGAACACGATTTTATGTTGCTCTGTAACTATAGCAATAAATAAATAAATAATCCATGATTGAGCAAAACACTTCGTGGGCATCTTTATTTACAAATTCAATGAGAATGTTTTTAACTTAAGAAATGTTAACATGACCGCATGACTGTTTGCTAACTCAAACGTCAATGGTACTCGACTTGACAGGACTTTTGAATCCAAGTTCCGCTGTGTTGACTTACTTTGTTTTCACGTGTCGTCTCAGATCGCGGGATAATAAATAGTCTTAAGTTAGCTGCTCTTTAATCGGCGCTATTTCTATGTTTATAGTTCACTGCGAGGTCTATTTAAAGGTACAACAATGTTTAAACAAGCATAGCTTTTGATAAAAATCAAATTCATGGTAAATTAAGATTCACTCGAATCGAGCTGTACTCTGTCGGCCCCTCGTATACCTAACAACTTCATTTCGCATCGCGAGTCGAACACTGTAACTTAGACTTAACGCATAAACAAACATGTGATTGGACTCAGAGACATGGTGGTCACAATATAAAAAACAACAACAACAAGTGACTGAATCAACTGGTGTCAAAATTAGTATACTACTCTGTTGGAATATTAATGCCAGATATGCATAATTATGGATCGAATTATGTTTAATCATAAACAATTCACCGTGTCTTACCAGTAACATCATGGTGTAAATAGAGTTGAATTTGAGTTGAACTGAAAGATACGCATTTCTTATCGTTCAATATCGAAATGATGAATTTACTCGTCGTTTTATTATTTAATTTGCATTGTTTATATAGTCTGCGCTTCACAGTTATAATGTTTGCATTTATTATTATCCATGGTCATATTTACATTTAAATTTAATACATCTGTTCGCGCATGCGCAGACAGTCATTGGACAGGTAAATTAGCAAACGCATACAATGTGTACTGTATTGAATAGATTAACCTTTGGTTTAACTCACAACCTAATATAATCTCAATTATCTTGTGTTATCCGAAGCGGCGACCGGCGAAAAACATGTCATAGGTTAATTATATCGATTACGATACGGTCGAGACTGTATGCTGTCGGGAGACATTATTTTTGTTTTAATTTGTGGTTTCCAATTCTTGAAACTGGTGTAAATGGTACACCGGTGTCTCTGGTACCAAGTGGGAAGAATAGTGAGTTACCAGCGACAGTTACGGGTGAATACACGCGTTTGATTGCTATTAACACATGAAGAAATCTTAATTTAAACTTACAGTGCCTGCCTAATGAACTATGCAAATCCAATCAGCCGACAACGCCAGTAAATTTACCGAGCATCGCTGCAACCATCGTGACAACAATGGCTTTCTGTTAACTCTAGTAAAGTCGTAAACACGAGCAAAAACGTCATAGTGCAGCCGAGTGCTCGCGTAAACAACGATGTAAACACTTTTTACCCGTGTGCCATGCAAATGTACATAAACGAAAGCAGTTTTAAAACAAATCTTTATTTCGCAATATCATTAAACAAATGAAGATTGCTCAAGGTAGATCCATTTCAATTAGTACGGAAGCATGTTCATTTCACCTTACTAACCAGTATGAGATTAATTAATCGAATAGTACGGCGACACAAATCCGGGTTCATATTTTACATACACCACAAATACTACAATGTTAAGCACAAAATTAATTATTCGAACTCGTCGTTTACTGAATTGAAACTCAGTTTATTTACTGATTTCCATGACAACTATATCTAAATATCTGCATCACACAATGCTTTCACTACAGCTTTCAACTAGGTTGCCCACGAAACTATTGTTGTGATCGAACGTGATGTTATTTGGCAGATTGACTTGAACGTCATTCAGTCTATCCCAAAATAGATAGAAGATACACACTCATTCCGGTCTCGTAGGTGAGCGTAAATAAGGGGGGGGGGATACATAATTATATTTGTCCCAGTCCCTCTACTGCTACATCCCTCTATAACTGTAGCTCTGTACACATTCCGAAGCGTTCTATACGTAGCGATGGGGATATTGGCGTCAGTTTGATAAGTGGAGCGCCCTGGGGTGACCAAGTGTTATCAAGTCGTGATTGAACGCGCCGTGTGAACCAGGCATTAATATTCTGCTGTCGATCTTTCAGTTATGGTCAACATATTACATATCTACTACTATGTGTAGTGTACAATTAATCTCATTTCACTCACGCGTGATAATTACACATAACAATTGTACCATTCTGTCCTTGTCCATTGCCAAGGCGTTATTATAACATGCCATTGCCTATATTTGGACATTTTGATTTTCAGACGTCTGCTTATTTCAACGTTGAGCGATTTCATCACGTATTAGACACCTAGCACATAGTAGTGTCATCTTATATTGATTATATATATATATATATATAGCATGTCACTGTGAATGACATAGTCCCCGTACGATGTATGAGCTGATGATGTGCGAAGTTCAAACTTGATTGGTATAAGCATTCTTTTAAACGAGAAGAGCGCCAGTCAGTCATTTTGGATTTTATAGTGTCAAAAATGCCTGTGCGTTTGTTCAATATGATGTCAGATTTACTTGTATCATAGATTTGAGACATTATGCATGATGCATGTGTGTGTGTAGTGTGAACTTGATGGGTCAGGCATGTATGTGATACTCCGTAGAACTGCATTCGTTTAAGCAAGGTGTTCGCCAGGCAACCATTTTAGATATAATGGTGACAAAAATGCATGTACGTTTGTTGGTATGATGCTTGGTGTATGCGCACAGTTTGAGCTAGATCGGTCTACGAATGTCGGAGTTCAAAATCCTGAGTTGCATTTTTTAAATCTATCGATCATTTTCAAACTTAAAACGACATGCATCATGTACCAAGTTTAAGCAACACCCGTACACACACGACTGAAAACCGGTTCCGGAATGGTATAAATATATGATTTTGATGCATTTGTGATTTGAAATGGCTATCATTCTGTCACCTTGAAACGGATCATGAAAAAATGGATTTGCAAATATCCAACATAATGTCTAATTCAAGAACGTAAGCGGTCGAGATACTTTTATGAGATACTGCTGAATACGGACGGAAGGACGTACATGACTACTTCATAAGTACACGTTTTCGTAGTGCGTCTAAACGGCCGGAGGCTATGTGAGTGAATTCACTACAACGCCGTCTTTCAACTTTACGCTCGATAGTTTCTTATAGAATCGAATCATGACCCGATAAGGCGCTGAGGGTCGTTCATTATTTTTATGTGACAAAATAACAATGTTTACTTATATTTCAAGTTGTACTTGCATACCCTATAGTGGTTAAGCTGAAATTTATGTTTTTTTTTTTAGTCCTAAAGTTATTTTACTTACAGATTGGTAATATTTTCTATTGTTGAATTAATAACATACATTGACGGAATACATGCCGTCATTGGTATGGATCATGATACGTTATATATACTATACGACAATCTCGAACAATGCTCATTCACATCTTTCCTGTTGTTGTTGTTGTCATCTTTCTGTACAGACATATGAAAAATAAGACGCTGTCACGCCGGTTCTTGACATAAACCAGTTTAACCAACACGAACTTGTCGATCATTCAAAATGACAAGCAGAATTAAGAAATAACTATCAGCATCCCCTATGACCTCGATGTCAGACATACCGACCAGTCAGGTATTACACTAGATTTTGCACAGAAAAATGTCTCTGAAAATAATATAAGATTGCTGTCTAGTTATCGTGCAATGGCGTAAGTGTATTGTTTATAACGTAGCGATGGCACGATATCACACGACAAGACATGTTAAGCGATGTGTATTGGGCACTTGAAAAGAAATAACACCGGGAAGAGAGAGGGTTTGATTGAATCCAGTACATCGACCCTAGTCTAAGGAGTTCTCAACAATGACACTCGATTTTTTTTTCTGATTTTCCCAATTTCTGGCGTCGAGCACCAATTTCGGATCTTAGAGTTTTAACAATTAAACGCATTTCCCGCCACTTGTTACGTGAGTGATCTCAAGTGCACGTAGACTCAAGCTTATGCATTTCGAACCACGGTACACCCATTGTTAGTCGTATTTTGAATTCAATTGTGCTTATGACACGTTTTATTTTATAATTATGCCATTCTAACATACATCAGGGGGTGTTAGTATCGAAGGTAGGACTTAGGAAACGTGACGTCTGTGTTCAGCTATTGTATTTGCTTTACGCTCATAGTAATGTGCATTTCCCACACACCTTGCAGTTAGACGAACCTTGCTGTTCCGATATTTAACACAATCATGCCTCGACGATTTACAGTTAGTGCGATTAATACGACCACGTTTCATTACATAGTTACCATAACAACACATTGTGTTTTATAGTTTAATAATCATTTCTGCATTTATTTTTATTTTTAGATGAGTTCTAGAATTTCTACTGGAAACTCTCGCACTTCCAGTGCGTTTGTGGTAGAGGAAACTCTGAGTAAGAACAAACTAATGAAACGCCAGTTAGCCGAGTTCCAGGAAAAGTCTGAATCGGGGGCCAGTAATTTCTCAAAGGTGGGTGATGTTTTCTAATTCTTTTTGTTGATATGTCATGTATGTATTTATGTTCTTGTGACTGAATTAAACAGAAAATTTAGAGGTCGGCGACAAATAATTGTGCACTACATTCAAATTTACAACTCAACGCAGGATTTTGAACATGCGAATTGATTTTATTTTCGCGGGAATATATATTTTGAGTGAACACGTAGTTAATGTTCGATACAACATGCACTTTATAACAACCCAGTGTGGTTGGCAGTGGCGATTCAATATTCCACGTCCTCTTCCAATGCCGAGCGCGATTTATAAAATGCTCGACCTCATCCCGTGGTTACAGGGGCAACTTTTATGGCATTCTATTGTGTTCGTCCTTAATCTGGTCCTTCCCTTTCAGTCGTTTATTTTATATGCATGTGTTGTAGTTGTTACGCACAAGAAAATTCTGCCATGTCTATTTTCATGGTTATAGATCTGGTATTGACTTGTTTTATACAGAAGGAACTCAGTGATGCATTTAACTGCACTTATTAAAAGAGACGCATTCACACATCCTTCACTATTCACTACCTCTGTATAAGACATATGCTCAATGGCAAGCACGAATACGTCACCAGTAATTGACTAGCCTTTGTCAATGAGGTCGTCAAGATGTGAAAAATATGGAGTAATTAATGAGTGCAGGCATTATTAAGATGTGGGGCGCAAGTTTCGTAAAATCCGCATTAAACAGAGCAGCAAGTGTTCATGCTGTTACCTTTGCCCCTTGTTCATCGTTGTTTACAACGCCTATATAATATAGATCGTTGTTCTCGCACAGCAGTTAAGGCCCGTTGTAATTGCCGATTTTGTATGCCGCTTTATGCGTTTTAAAATTTGAAATTCTTCAAACTGTCGCGTGGCGGCGCTTCTTTAACATCCAACTAAATATATATGTATATGTATTTATATCACTTTATTTTTTCACAGGACACTCTACACTACTGGTTGAAATTATTAACCGAGAAGCCGGAAGTCTCGTATCAAAACAAATTCATTAATTCCCTTTCTCAACTCCGGAAGTTAGTTGAGTGGATTACTAGCCGCTATAAGAATTCTAAAAAACGCGACCGCGATGGAAAAGATTTTGAAATGATAAGATATTTCGAGTGGTTTTTCGGTTATATTCAATATCTAAGGGAATTATATCAAGAATTCCATAATCGTATTTACGAACCTCTTTTTGATTATTTCTATGACGACGAAGATGATGTCAGAGACGATGACGATGACGGAAAGGTGACGCCAGGAAATGGGAGCCGAGACAGCGGAATTGGAAATGAGACAGGCAGACTTGATAGCGCATTTTTGCAACCCAGTGTCACCAAAGTGCTGGTTGAACTCTCGCGTGAATTTAGTGACATTGATTTCAAGCTTGATAACAAGGATTTACACAATACCGCCAGAAAACTGTACGAGCTTATCAAACATTGGCGACAACTCATAGAAAACGATTCGGACATAGACCCCAAACTTTATGGCAAAGAAAGCCTTGAAGAAGTGGCTGAATACACGAACATCGGAAACTTCCGACAGTTTCTCAGGCTTATACCGGACGTTTTATTGAAAACCAAGAAAGCGGTGAGTCTTGCGGAACACTGGATGGAGATTGACGAAAAGAAATTGAAAGAAATCGACACACAACTAGGCATGGTAGAGGAAATCCAGACCCGAATGGAATTACGGGTAATCGAAGTACTCAGGAAAATACAACAACATGAGGGCGAGTTCAACGTAAAGAGTGACGAATTACAAATGTTACTCATGAGAGAGGACCGTTCAAATGAGCTCAATGTCAAGTTGTCTTTCATACAGGGTGACATCAATATACTGCAAAAAAGACTCGACAAAGCCTGCGACGAAGGTAGGGAAATCATAGATAAAATAGAAGAACTGAAACGAACAAAACAAGAAGACAGCGACGAGTATGGGGACTATACAAATAGATACGACGACAATAAAAGGTATACGTTCGAATTAGTCAAGAGCATTGAAATGGAAGAGTATAAATACAGGTATGTTCCGCCCTCACGTGGCGAGTAGTGTTCATTGAATACAATACTTTAATAAATTATATATACTTATATATTTATTTAATATATTTTTGAGCAAAGCAACATATAACAATTAATTTGATTGAATTAATACTTATTCCGTGTGTTCTTACAGTCAACTATTGAGACATGGATACGTTCATCAGATGCAACTATACTATACCTATTTACGTTTATTTAAGTATATCAGTCTAATATGCTATTTTGTTATTACCAATACATTATTTTGACATCTTTCTTTTTGTTGCGGTGATTACATCTCGTAAATAATATTGCTGACCTGTGTATAATTAAACAACACACATTATATTAAGTCCAGCATTATAATACAAACAAACTACTGAGCCTCTGTCCAGTGCACCCTACCCCTAAATGCTCATCAAATCTGACTTTCAACCAAAGAACACAAAATTGTATACATTTAGAGGCAAGGTGATGTGTTCATGGATACGTGACAGGCGTAAAGTCACATAAAACAGCGCGAGGTTCTCCAAAAACAGAGCAACATGTAAAAATCCTTGTCTTTCTGCCAGTACTCGGATATGAAGTTAAACTCAAGCATACACAAAATTCCCATTTTAATAGTGGCAGAAAACTACAATTCAGTCTTCCAATACACTATATTTAATAAGAATTATGAATGAAAGCATGTACTTTACATTATGTGTGATATAAATTGTAAAAATTTATGCTGAATGGTCGATGGAAAACGATTTTAAAGTGACTTTATCCACTCGTCATTTTGGATTTTATACAAAATTAACTGTTCTGCTTCATTTTATATTTTGCTTTTTTTTTCTCCATTATAAACGCTGTGATGCGGATATTTTTAATGTAGAATATCTGTGAACATATTCCCCACTACTGTCTACAGAACGGTGATGCTTGGTTTTCAGTGGTAGAGCGTGGTTACTAAAAAGTTAAAGCGGGGGAGTCGTCACCCGCGCATGCGTCAGATGGCCACAGCGTGTCGTTGTTTACGTGTTGTCGTCTACCCAAGAGCCTTTGCGTTTTTAGCGTGTGTTGTTATCGTCGCCTCGGACTCTATTCCCGCGCGTGCGCAGGTAACGACCCTCACGCTTTAATCCCATAATTCACACCTTAAAACAATATCTTTTCTTAACCGTCTTTTTTAGTAACAGTTGGTTGAGTAAGTTCTTTTATTATTACCAAACGCTTCAGCGTGGTATTAAGAGTTTGTTTTCAGGGGTGGGTGATACCAAGGTGGGAAATGGGTGCACATGTGGGGTTAATTCCTTGAATTGCAATATAGAGGGTTCAGGCTGAAATACAATATATAGTGTTTTCATGTTTCGTCTGATATTTCTGTGGTATTCTGCTGCTGTAAGTAATGCACGATTTGTTCCGAAATTCAGTATATTGTGTGTATTCCAGGGTTATTCGTTTTTTGCTGAAAACACCCCTATTTTTTAGTGGCAGAGTTTGAATAGTCTCACTCCCACTGGGAAATCTGCATTGTTGCTTGAATGTGAGTTAATTAAACACATTTTCCAGACCGGCGAAAGAGTATGCAACAGCCAATTTTAACAGCCTGTCACGTGATTTTAGTCTGAATGTCAACATGAAGAGGCTAGTCCATTTTACGCAGGAGTAATTGGGAGTAGAATATGTGAGGGATAGTATCAACAGAGATGTGTATAGTGAAAAGTAATATCTATCCTTCATTTACATCTCTGAGCATTTCTGTTTTAGTATATTGGTTTGAAAATGTTGAACTTGCATGATTTGCAATGTGTTTTTTTAATGGGACTCTCCTATTGA